TATAAACAAATCACTCTGTCTTACTGGGTGGTTTTATGCACCCTGTTTGCATAGTAGACTGGCCAATCCCCGCAAAGGTTTTACATACCTTATGTGCATAGTAAACTGTCCAATCCATTTGGAAGATTGTGGCCTGTCAAATCATCTTTGCAGAACTACAAACCCAGGGCCAGAAAGGCCATATATAGAAAGAAATCCATCACTGCAGTCATTCTCTTACTAATGGGTGTTCCTGTGGTTTCTGATGTTTGGCTTTTACAGAGGACAACTCTGATGAGAATCCTTGTCCACACCTCCTTGGCTGTTGGGCAGGCAGCATCGCTGGCTCCTTGAAACACAGGCATTCATTCTGCCATCCTTCATTCCAATGTGATTGGACCAATTTTGGCTTTATCTTTTCCCCTTGGCCTTCTCTCCTCTGCTGTTGGGCTTATAGCTGCTGTTGGTGGGCCTTCTCTTAGCAGCCCCTTCTTTAGCTCATTTGCTGCTGCAGATCTGCTGTGGGATTAGAAGTTAGATATTTTTATAAATAAAATTAGAGTCCCTGAGTGGCACATATGTTTAACACACTTGACTGCTAACTATCAGGTTGGAGGTTCAAGTCCTCCCCAAGGCACCTCGAAAGAAAGGCATGGTGATCTGCTTCTGAAAAAATCACTCTTGAAAACTCTATGAATCCCACTTCTAGTGACTCATGTGAGATCACCATGAATAGGAGTCAACTCAAGGGCAGCTGGTGTTGTATGTATGACATCAGTCAGTAGGCTCTGAGAGGGTTTATGAAAAACTGCAAGAATTTTGTTTTAATGGAAAATGTTTTTTTGTAAGCATACTAACTTCTCATATACTTTAGTCTTCGAATAAAAACATCTGAGAGAAACTTAGCACTATTACAAATGCAATACTTATTTCATACCTATTAATACCTTTATTCATACCTAGGCTTAATCTAGGAATGTCCATCTCCTCTACCTTCTCCATCCCCCCTCCCCCCCCGCAAAAATCTGTCAAAGCACTGAATCTGCCATAAACTCTTTAGTCTTTATCTGCAATTATGTCGGGAATGAATCAGAGGAATAACTAACATTTATTGAGCACTTAGATAAGCCAAGCCCTGTTTTAAGCACTTTATACTTACAACCTACAGGAGTTTTTAATTCACAGGCAAATTGTTCTTGACAAATTGGGTAGTTGGGTTTTTTTTGGTGGGGGGTAGTTGGGTTTTTATTTTTAGCTTTCCTCTGGGATCCTCGATCATATTTTTGGCTGTGAAGTCACCATTTGGCTGAGCTCTAGATAAATAAAATGTCGCTGTGTGGCATATAAACTTAAGAATTATAGTTTTATTAATACTTGGGCCAAATTTCAAGAAGAAAAAATTATATCAGAGCAATAAGGTCCAACTAAGGAGCCCTGGGGGTACACCAATGACACTCTTGGCTGCTAACTGGAAGGTCGGCAGTTCGAACCCACCAGTGGCTCTGCGGAAGAAAGACCTGGAGATCTGCTTCCATAAAGATGACAGCCTAGGAAAACCTAGGGGGGAGCATTTCTACTCTTAACACATGTGGGCACTGTGAATTAAAATTGACTTGGTGGCACACGACAAGATGGTTAATCTGAATGTTAGTAAAATAATAGAGATACCAGTTTTACATTAAGTAGGAATTGTGTTTGTTATATGCCTCTTATCATGTTGGCTATAGTATCCTTGGACTCACAGCAAAGGGGATGGACTGTAAAAGGCACCAGATACTGCAGCCAGAATTCAAGAACAAGTGTGAACAAGTACGTTTTTTTCCCAAAATCCTCTCACAGAAGTCTGGCGATCATGCTTGATACTATCAACTTTGAGCACAAAGGACAACCACACAGAGATATACCAACTTATAAATTCCACCAGGCTATGCTTTAGTGCATGGGTGGGGTCCAGAGGCTCGGCAGCAACAGCAATGGGAGTTTTCCAGAGCCTAGCCTTTCTCTTAGACTTCGGATAGGACTGCTCTGGGGGCTGGCATTTCACTTAGAGCATGCTCAGTAAAGACAGGGCTGAAAACTCAGCATAGTCATGTGGGCAGTTGGGCTTCCCGCCAACACTGGAAAATGTGGCTTTGTCACCATACTATAACTTGACCATTCCTTAAAGGAGAGGCTTGGCTCAGAAAGAACATAGCAAGTTCTGAGTGAGAAAGATCTCTTCTTGAGTTCACTAGTCTGTACCATTGTTGTTGTTTTAATAATTTATATTGTTTTAGTTGTTGAGAATATACACAGCAAACATACACCAGTTCAACAGGTTTCCATGTAAATTCAGTAACATTGATGACGTTCATCAAGTTGTGTGACCGTTCTCACCCTCTTTTCCAAATTGTTCCTATCCCATTAACGTAGACTCACTGCCTCCTAAGTTTCCTATCTAATCTTTTGAATTGATGTTGTCAATTTGCTCCCATATACATAGTTCTTAAAAGAGCATATATTCAAGGCAGACATTCTTTACTACTTAAGCTAAACTACTGTTTGGTTTTAAGAGAACTTTAGAGGATATTTTGGTTTAAGGCTTAAAGATTATCACAGAGCAGTAGTTTCAGGGGTTCATCCAGCCTCAGCGGCTCCAGAAATTCTGGATTCCATGAGAATGTGAGATCCTGCTCTGCTTTTTCCCCCTTTTGCTCAGGATTTTTCTATAGAATCTTTCCTCAAAAGTTCAGTAATGGTAGCCAGGCACCATCCAGTTCTTCTAGCCTCATGGCAAAAGAGGCAGTTGTCCGTGGAGACACACATTATATGTTCTCCTCCAGTTCCTGACTCTTCTTCTTCCTCTGTTGCTGCAGGCAAATAGAGACCCATTGTTGTGTTTTGGATGACCTCTTGCAAGCATCTGGGACTCCAGGCACTATGCAGTTTAACTAGGAGGTAGAATAGAAGCACTAAATACATCAGGCCAGTTACCTGTGATGCCTCAAGAAACCTTGACTTTAAACCTCCAAACCAAGGAACCAAATCCTATGAGGTGTTTGGTTGTACAGAAGTAGCCTCAGCAGCTACTCTTTTTATACTTTTGTCGTTATAGATCTATCACACAACTTTTGCCAATTCACCTTTATATGGGTATATAACTTATTGATTACATTAATTCGCTGTACAACCTTACACTTAATGAGATTTTTCCATCACCAAAACAAAAACTCAGTACTCCATAAGTAGTGACCACTTCCCCTAGTCTGTAGGTTTGATTCTGTGGGAGGTTTTCATCAGGACTTAGGTGTTCCCACATAAAGGCGCCAGGGTTGCATAGTTTCATGGATATGTCAGACTATTTTAAGGAAAATGGGCCCTTGGTTTTTCAACTTCAGTTTTGTTTTTTGCTGCCTCTGTCTGTTGGTCGTTGCTGTCAAGTTGATTCCAACTTGTGGTGACCCCATGTGTGCAGAGTGGAACTATGCTCCACAGGGTTTTCCAGGTGGTGACCTATTCTGTATAGAACTCTGCTTCTCCTCTGCACACATGACAGCCCCTGTGGGTTTGAACTGCCCACCTTTGGGATAGTAGTTGAATGTAATTATTTGTTCCTGCCAGGGCCTCCTTGCTGCCTCTGCAAGTCGACAATGAACCTAGAGCATTTCTTCTTTGCAACCTACCCCTCTCCCTGACACTTTTCAGTTTGATGAGGGTGGCTTTCAGGACTCCCCACTCTGGAGACAGCTGAAGCCAGTGTCCCATGCCCCGTTCATGTTCCTCAGTGGGCTCATTCAGCCAGAATGGCGAGGGAGTTGGACCATGGGTCTTGGTCTAACTTGGTAATTCCTGTGGCTTGTGCTCAGTGTGAAGCACAGTGATAAGCAGTACTATGTTATAGAACTTGGGCTCCGGACCAGAGAGCCGCCTCTGGGAAATTGACCTGTATTTCTGAGCTTTTGCTGCACATTCTACAGAGCAGAGAGAGTAGCTGGCTGCTTGCCTGGAAAGCAGCCTGTAGACACTTTATCTGATTAATATGGTGTCCATTGTTTCAATACCTGAAAAATAATAGCCTCTCCAGCATCAGCCCCTGGTGCTTCTGTGAGAGATCTGCCGCCTTCAGACAGCACAGGTGCTCTGTTGTCCTTGTCCTCGCTGTTGGCTGCTGTCTAGCTAGTTCTAACTCATAGTGACCCCCTGTGAAAAAGAAGGAAAAGCTGCCCACTCTTGCACCATCCCCCTGATCCGTTGCAAATGGACCTTTATAATCCACAGGGTTTTTACTGGCTGACTTGCAGATGTCAGTCTCCAGGCCTTTCTTCCTAGTCTGTCTTAATCTGGGCATGCCACAGAAACCTGTCCAACATGGGTGACCCTGATGATATTTGAAATATTGGTGGCAGAGTGTCCAAGCCTCATAGCAGCATGCCAGCCGCCCCAGTATGACAGACACACTGACAGGTAGAGGAGGTACCCCCTAGTTTGCTACGAATACTGCCACTTACTGTAGTTACCCTAAAGAGCTCTGGTGGTGTGATGGGTAAGGGATTTGGCTGCTAAACAGAAGGTTGGCAGTTCGAACTCACCAGCCGCCCTGTGGAAGGAAGATGTGGCAATCCACTTCTGTAAAGATTTATAGTCTATGAATCCCAGTGGGGGGGTGGCTGTGAGTTGGAATCAACTGGATGGCAGTGAGTTTGCTTTGGTTTTGGTAGTCACCCTGGCATAAGGCAGGTTGTTCATTGCATCTGTTTTCGAGCCTGTGCTTGGCCCACTTGATTCTTGTTTTTTAGCTGCCTTCTCATCTCTCCTTTCCCCTGGATCCACACGTATGCAAACTCATTGCCTTTGTGACCCCACTGAAACATTCTGGTCCTGTCAGTGGAAGCTGGTTACTGGAAGCCGCTCCCCCATCTTGTTTTGCAAAGGTCTTAATCATGTGGGGCAGTTCTTCCTTGCTTCCCTTCTTCTGAGGAATGTTCGATACAGTTAACATGATTGAAATACCTATGTTTAATGATCATTGTCTTTCATTTCAGATAACTAAGAAATGCATCAAAAGTTCTACAGAGAAGAACCAGATAAGACTGCAAAGAGTAAGACATTTTCCCTGAAATAGAAAGTTAGCCTGATGTGTTTTTTGCATCATATTAAGCAAAGCCATTTGCACTTGGGCCCGGTTTGGACCTTTTCCCTGCTTATACTGCCAGTCATTCTGAGTCTTCCTTCATTTTAAATGATTGGGTTCCATTGCTTGTGGATTATGTCACTTTTAGCTTTGCTGAATCCTGAAGTTTTGCATGGAGCCTTTTGTGAGGTTTCATGATCCTCATTCCTTGTAATGTACAGATGACTGTACCTGTCTGGCTTCCCATTGTGTCTTACAGTTGCCCTCCCAGGGTCCCACTTGCTTGGCTTCAATCTCTCGCTAGTGTTGTCACACTACACTTGGGGTCAGTTTTGAGTGGTTCCCTGCTGAATCTTGGGTTCGGTTGTCTGGGCTCCCTACATTTCTCACACAGCAATGAGAGGTTGTCGTTCTTACCACCATGGAGCTCACACAAGGCCGAGGTGCTTGCCACACCCCTGTCGGCTCATGGAAGGGGCTCTGGGTACAGTTGGCTATGTGCCACCACATGTCTTCTGTGCTGCGTTGAATATTTGCATATCAAATTTTAATGTCCTTTTTATAACTTATCTCGTACTTCCCTCAAATTTGTCAGTTGGACATGTGGGAAAGAAACTCAAGTATGACAGGATAGATCTGATTTACCTGTGGTTTGGAGAAGCCTCTGTTTTCTACCTAGCAACAGGGAAGGATGTTCCTGTCAGCATCCTGCCCTCGTGCTGATGGTCTTGTTATACTCAGACCGTTACTGTGTTCCAGTACCTGCATGTCAGATGGAAATGTAGGGAGTACTCAGCACGAAGTGGATAGTCAGGCATTTTTACACACATTTCCATGGCTTTGGCTAAAGTGATTGCAGCTTTATCAGAACGTTTTAGAATGTCCTCTCCAGAGGCAAGGGCATACTCACTCACGCAAACGGAACACTGAGCAGTCAGGTCCCTGACAGTCGGGAAGCCCAACTTTGGTGGGTCATTACCTGTGCAGATCACCTGGTAGTGTATGAGAAGGTGCCCATCCCTCTGGTCAAACAGATGGGCTTGTTTTATGTGAACTGAAGATTATATAGTAACAGCACTCTGGGCCTTGCACTGATTCTTTGGAATGAGGAATGGATATGATAAAATGCAGTGTTCTACTTTAGAGACTATAACAGAAATGAACTGGTTGTGACAGTAATGAAATGATCCTGCTGTAGTAATGGAGACAGCTCTTCACTCTTTCTGTCTTCACTTAAAACTTCACCTTTTCTCAGATCCAGAGAAATGAATGGCTTTAAAGAAGAGTATATGTGTATATAGATACATATTTTGCCTTTTATGTTTTCTCATTTCTTCCCCATGGTTTTATGACTTGCCCAATAGGTTCCCTGCCCTTGCCTCATCTCAGTCTTTTATTTCAAAATGAAACCTAGATACTGTAATCTGTATTCCTGTAGTCTGGTATTTGTGGGGTGGGGTGTTTTTGTTTTAAAGGTTGAAGAGGCATAGCCTGTATGTGTTTTTGATTATTTGACCTAACTTGCTTCCTTTTTTTCCTTCCCTGCCTGTTCCCTTTTTTTTTTTTTTTTTTAATTGGGGTAGAAACAGATGCAGCAAACCATTTGCCAATTTAACACTTGTCCTGTGTCCAGTTCTGTGACTTCAAGGACATCACCTGCTGTGCAGCTGCCATCACTGCCCTTTGCATTAGCAGAAGCTCAGCGCCCCCCAGCACTGACTCCCCTCCCTGTCCCCCAGTCTCTGGTCACCACTAAAGAGCTTTGGTCTCTGTACATCTGCCTGTTTCATACAAGTGGGATGGTAGGATATATTTGTGTGTGTGACTGACTGCTCTGTGCATAACATTTTCAGGGTTCGCCCATGCTGCAGCATCAGGGTTTCTCTTTTCTTCTGGCTGAGAGTATTCTGACCATAGCTTTCTTCTTGAAAAATGCAGTTCAAACCTGAGAGAGAAGCCTGCATAGACAACTCGGAGATAGAGAGCTGCCTCCCTCCACCCACCCCCTTTTTTTTTTTTTATTAAAGAATAAATGAATAAACTTGCCCCAGGTTCAAAGATAAGTTATTATAAATGAATCAGACTTCGAATTGCCTTCAAGATGCTGTGTCAAATGGCTAATTCTCATAAATTTCCTTATAACAGAAGGAATTCTTTGCAATGATTAAAAAGCACTTCTCTGTCAGCATTTCTGACATGAGTCTCCTCCTGTCAGTGGCCCCTGGCTCCTTCCCCTTCCACTTAAGCACAATCCTCTTTGATACTCTAACCCGACCCCACAGGAGATCTGCAAGGTACACACCTGTTGACTTGTCTTTTGGCCATAGGACAAAGACCGCTTGGGCAAGCAACTGAGGTTACAAGCAGAAAAGGAAGAAAAGGAGAAATTGAAAGAGGAGGCCAAACGAGCCAAGGAAGAGGCCAAAAAGAAGAAAGAAGAAGAGAAAGAGCTGAAAGAGAAGGAAAGACGGGAGAAAAGGGAAAAAGATGAGAAGGAGAAGGCAGAGAAGCAGAGGCGCAAGGAGGAGAGGCGCAAGGAGAGGCGCGAGGCACTCGAGTGAGTGTCTGCTGGTGGTCTGGGGCCGCACCGCTGCCTTGCCTCCCAGGCTTGGCCATTCTGACAGGGCTGTGGCTGGGACTTTGACAAGTCAAGGCAGTGGCCCTACTTGTTGAGTCCCTTCTGCTTCCTCCATGTGGGTCACACATTGAGCCGCCTGAGTGAAGGGTGAAAGGGGGCTTTGTGCAACTGCTCTGCTCCTCCCTTTCTTCATGCTGAGCCTCATGTCTCTCTTCAGGGCTTGCTCTAGACTTCTGGACAGTAGGTGATGGAGGTTTCCACTCAGGAGTACAGTTTTGGCTCTGCAGATTGAGTGCTATCATTGTAGGTGCAATTGAGTTGATTCCAACTCGCAAGAGACCCTGTGTGACCAAGTCGAACTGCTTGATAGGCTGTCCCAGGCTGTCATCTTTATGGGAGTAGATCGCCAGGTCTTTCTCCCACGGAGTGGCTGTTGGTTACAAACCACCAACCTTTTAGTTGGCAGAGGAATGCTGAACTACTGTGCCATGAGTTCCTTGGGTACTGGTTAGGTAACATTGAATTCTGTATCTCACAGGGCTAAACTTGAGGAGAAAAGGAAAAAAGAGGAGGAGAAACGGTTAAAAGAAGAAGAAAAGGTAACATGTCTTGTGTCTGATATCTGACCTCCCTGCCGAGGCCCTGGGGCTCTTCTGCTGGCCTGGCCCTGAGGCCTTGGGGTAGATGCATGAATGTCAACAGCCTGGTGCTTTGCCCACAAAAGTAAACCATCTCTTTGACTTTTGAGACCAGCCGCTGGTCCTTGGTCTTGAGAGCTAACATCACATTGAAGCCTGCAACTTAAAAATGCTGGGGGTCACTTTGGGGATCTCCGCCTGTCTTAGGCTCAGACGTGCCCCCCCCCTCTTAGTTTACTTCTCCCCATCGTCTTCTCTTAAATTGCAGCGCATTAAAGCCGAGAAGGCCGAGATCACCAGGTTCTTCCAGAAGCCAAAGATTCCACAAGCCCCCAAGGTGAGGAACCAGCTTCCCCTTCTCTGTTCTGTTAGTCTTTTTGAAAACAAAAGGGGGCCTTCCCTTCCATCAGTGAATGCCCCTGGGTGCACAGGGAGCTTCTATTTCTGGTAAGGTCTGGAAGCTCAGGATTCTGTCATTTTACCATTTTCTGAAAGGGCAAAAGGTGTGTGTTTGGTAATATTGCCCAGTTTCTAGAAGTTGCTTCAAGAGCAGTTTCGTGTTAGGAACTTCATACGTACGTGTGAGAGAAGGCTGAGTTCTTACCCTTGGGAGATGTATGCTCAAGGTGGGTAGCAAAGTTACCATAAAACAGCAGAGTAGAATTTAATTTAGCCTAGAATTTTCCTCCTCAGCATAGCATCTGTCACCTGGCAGGTTAGACCTTCTGAGCTAGAATCTGCATGGGGAGTTTAGGACCTCCTTCCTCCTCCTGTTCTCCGGAGGTCACTGCCTCTCCCGCAGGGAAGGGACCCTTCCCTCTGCATACACGGTCCTATGATGTCTGTGTGGTGGTGGTTGGCTGCTGTCAAGATGTCCCCCACCTTAAAGCAGCCCCCCACACACAGCGGGACAAAGCCCTGCCTGGCGCTGAGTCACCCCCAGGATCCCTGTGGATCGCACCGGTGTGCTTCATACGCTTTTCTCTCTCTTTTTTGGTATCCATTATGGAGCCAAATAATTTTTTTTCCAGAAACAAAAGAATGGTTTTTGGAGTATTGGTTAACTATTTTGTCTTCTCTTCCTGGGGTTCAAATGTATTTTAGAAAAGACCAATGGCAATACCTTTTTTTTTTAATGAATTAACAGTCAAATATAAAATTTATTGCTAGAAATTAAAATCGTAGTTATTTGTTTTGAAAACTTTATAAACATTAAATAATATCACATTTTTTTTCAATAATTCATATTATACAACTCCTTGACAATATGGTGCTTTTCTTGTTTTTTCTTTTCCCCTTTTTCCAGAGACTTTCTTGCTACTAAAAGCTTCAATGAAAACACAGAATGAATTTAGGAAATAAGAGAATTTTTAAATAGTTTCATTTTCCATTAGTAAAATTCCTTGCAATATGTATTACTCAATAACATTTAAATTTAATAAATGCCATGTGTGTTTATTTAAAAACAGGGATGCAAATGTGGCTTTGGGTGAGAACATTCTTTCTCTTGTTTTCAGAGGCCAGAAGGTGTTGTTTACGAGGGTTTAGTAGAAGCCCTCTTCTACCTAAATTTCCTAGAGACATAGAAATGTCTCATATGGTAGATGTGGCTCAGCTTCTGTCCCCTTGATGTTCAGTAGTGTCACTACCAGATTTGGCCCTCTGAATCTTTCACACTGTGAGGATTAGGTAGCATTACCTTGCTCACAATGATAGATCAGGGGGACCACATGGAACGGGAGTGAGCCATAGAATCCAAATTTCCCTAAGGAGCCATATAGCTGTACCCACTGAAAGGTTTGCTCCTGCATTGCCAGCTGGCCCAGGTCTCTGTTCCTGGCTGACAGGATCATCCCCTCCTCACTAAGACCACCAAGGCCTCTCTACTTAGATTCATGTTTGAGTGGAATTTCTTGTGGGTTCAGATCCTAGAACACTTAGACTTTGGATTTAGAAAAAAGGTCATTCTTTAGAAATGCAATAGCAAGTTTTCCTCTCTGAAAGATAAATAACATAGCTCTTCCAAAAGGAGAAAAAAATGATTAGTCATACTTGTTACATTAAAGTTTCAGTAGTAGCTTCTCTTGGGGTGAGGGGGATCTCTTTGCAATGAAAATTAATATCTTGTGAGCTACAGTGGAAAAAGTCCCAAGTGTATTATTTCCATAGCTTGGTTAAAATAGATGATAAGTGATTATTAAAAGAATGAAAAGGAAAGAAACAAAGTACACACACATAACATGCACCAAGAATTTCATGGTAGTCTAAAGTTGATATGTTTAACAATAATAGTGTAGAGTATAAAATGTTGAATAATGCAATATGCTACAATTATTTTTGTTTTCTGAATGATAAATCCAATTTAATTAAGTCTGACTTTGAGTACTGTGGACTCTCAAATGAGTTTTTAAAAATGTTTTAGAACTGTTCACCAAAACTTATTTCACATGCTATATTCTGAATGCTTTATCCTTAAAGAATACTAAATTTATTATCCAAAGCATTTGCAGAAAAGAAAAAATGTGTTTTTCACTAAATCACTCCTAGCAAAGACAATTTTCAAGGTATTTAGTATTTTCCAAATAATGCTCAGGGAAACATCAAAGGAAAGAACAGTAAATATCCTTCCATACAATGGCAATACTTTTTGAAAAATAATTATTTGTTGTTGTTGAAAACTCCAAATCGTTAACGTTATTTTTGGAAGTAGTAGATGGCTAGGCTTTTCTTTTGGGGTGCCTCTGCGTAGACTCGAGCCTCCAACCCTTTGGTTAGCAGCCAGGCACATTGCTGCACCACCCGGGGCCTCTGTATGGTCACGTAACCACTACGATAATTTAGGCTTTCCCTGACCCTACACAGCTCCCTGTGTTCCTTTGTCGTTAATTGCCTCTTCCCACCCCTGACCCTTGGCAGCTGCTGACCTAATCGCTGCCCTATAGTTATGCCTTTTCTGGAATCTCATGTAAATGTCATTGCCCGCCACAAAGCCTTCTGCGTGGGCCCCTTGACTTAGCACGTGACCTTTGCGCATCGCCCCAGGGTGGCGGGCACCAGCAACTCATCCCCTTTGTTGCTGGGTGGGGTTCCACCATGTCTCTTCTCAATTTCAGACCCTGGCTGGCTCTTGTGGCAAGTTTGCCCCGTTTGAGATTAAAGAGCACATGGTTCTTGCGCCGCTGTGCCGGATGGCCTTCGATCAGGACCTCTGTGACCAGTTAGACCAGCTCCTCCAGCAGCAGAGTGGCAGCTTCTCCTTCCTGCAAGATCTGAGGGGTCGGCGGCCCCTCAGATCCGAGCCTACTGTTGTTTGTAACCGGAACACGGGCGCCTTCAACAGGCAAGTGCCCGGGAGACTGCCCTGCTCCCGTGGGTGAGGCCAGAGAGACACTGGGAGACTGAGCAAGAGGTCTGTCTGGGTCTTGGTCTGTGACTGCCTTGCTCTGGTGCTACTCAGGACTCTCCTCTCTGATGTCCTATAAACCTATGAAACCCCTTATATGCACGGTGTTGTTATTGTTGTTTGCCATCAAGTTGGCCCCGACTCATAGCAACCCCTCCTTGGGTTTCCAAGGCAGTATCACTACAGAAGTAGGAATGCCCAACCTTCCTTCCGAGGAGTGGCTGGTGGGTTCGAACCGCCAGCCTTCTGGTTAGCAGTCAAGTGCCTTAGCCACTATGCTACCAGAGCTCCTATACGCACGGTGGTAGGCCTCAAAAAGTCTGTCCCATCTTCTGACAATGGCCCTTCTTGTCTCGGTGACAGCCTCTACAGAGGGCATTTCCCTGGTCTTGCTTTTACTGTACAAAAAAACAACCCAGTTACCATTGAGTTGATCCTAACTCCTGGCGATGCCATGTGTGCAAAGTGGAACCGTTGCACAGGGTTTTCAAGGCTGTGCACTCCTGGAAGCAGATTGCAGACCTGCCTCCTGGGGCACCTCTGGGTGGGTTCGAACCACACCCTTTCAGTTCGTCATCAGGCACTTACGTTCGTGCTGCCAAGGGCTCTCACCTCCTGCACACAGCTGTGCTGGGCAGCGCTCTTGGGCAGCAGTCTGGCACTCGTGTTGTTTCTTCCTGCCTCCTCTTCTCTGGTTTGTGCCCGTCAGCCTTCTGAGGGGCAGGTAGTGGCGCTGGCTGATGGTCACCTGTCCTTGAAGGGCTCTCTCAGCCTCCTTCATGAGGTGGTAGCTCCCTGGGAGCGTTGTGGGTGGCATATACACCAGTTGCTGAAGGCAGCATCCTGTCCCTCAGCGATGTGGTGATTGTGGAGAGTGGCGAAGCAGATGGTGTTCCCGAGAGGAAACAGTTTGGCAGGATGAAGCTCCTACAGTTTTCCGAGAACCATCGGCCAGCATACTGGGGCACGTGGAATAAGAAGACGACAGTCATCCATCCGAGAAACCCCTGGGCTCAGGACAGGGTAGGTGTCCTACCAGGTGCCAATGGCACGTGCACTGCTGTCTTCCATGTTTTCTTTCAGCTTTGTCTTTTTGATACTGGCCGCCTGGGTTCTGTAAGTGTTCTGGCCTTCCTACTATCCCCCAGCCCCGAGAGCATTAATGAGACCCTGGTGCTTACCATTTCAGAAGCTCCTCGACTACGAGGTGGACAGTGACGACGAGTGGGAAGAGGAGGAGCCAGGGGAGTCCCTTTCCCACAGTGAAGGGGTGAGAGCAGACCTGAGCCCGCCCAGGCCCTCACTTGCCCACAGACGTGTTCTGTCTGACCTGCACTATTGTCTTAAATCTGGAGCTGTCACACGATGTCTGGGCTCTTAGCTCCTCTTGGACAGTCTTTTCTTTGAGGGTGGGCTGGCTTCATCACAGCAGCTTTGAGCCTTCCCCATGGTCCCCCAGCGGGCCCACCCCTCCCTCTGCCTACATGGGCCTGCCTCACACTTGTTTTCTTCCTGACCCCCAACCCTACTGTAATGAGGGACTGGGTCAGCAGGTGTCTGCTGACCATCTTAGTGTCCACAGAAACACCCTGCAAAGCAGTAGCTGGAGCTTCTCCCTGAGACGTGTGTAGGTTCAGATATTGAAGAAGAATGTGTTCTGTTTCTGTGTGTAATTTACTTATTGTTTTCTCAAGGACGATGATGATGAAGTGGGAGAGGATGAAGATGAAGACGATGGCTTTTTTGTGCCCCACGGGTACCTATCTGAGGATGAAGGTGTTACTGAGGTGAGGGGGTAAAGGGGAGAGACCAGCTCAGAGATGGGCTATAACCCTGGAACCTTGGAGGGGCTTTCACTGGGAGTGGTTGAGCCTGAACTCGGCTCTCCTGGGAGCTGATGAGATCTGCCCGGCCTAAAGCAGTCCCTGTAAGGGCTCTAGTGTGGGAGCTGTGTAAGCCGAGGCTCTGGTCAGACAGTTGCTGTGCATTGCAGGTGGGGCTGGGCAGGTCCTAGAGGGCTGCCTCAGTGAGCTTTGAAGGTTTTTAGTGGAAGCATAATTAGCATACATTAAGGAGCACAGAGATCAAGCATTCAGCGTGAGGGGCCTTGACAGTTGACCACATTGGTAAAACTGTCACCCAGAATAAGATGTACCAGCCTTCCATCTCCCCAGAAGGGCCCCTAGATGTGCCCCCCAACCCTCAGTCCCATTGAGCTGGGCACTCCTGAGGAGGCTGCCCCCCAAGGATGCTTTGGCAACAGGAGCCAGGCCGAGCTTGGGGCCTGGTCCACATTTCACAGTCGGACCTACGAATGCTCAGGATGCCTCTCTAACTGATCAGTGGAGGTCTCGTCAGGATCAGTTGAGTTTATCTCAGTGGCATTGAATTCCATGGTTTGTTGCATTTTACCAGGGACACAGGCCTGGCTTTGTGGTGCCTAAATGGTGTATGGTTTGAGGCTGGTGATTTGACAGCTCTTTGGCCCCTATATTAACCCGAAGATGCCCAGAGGTTCAGGGGGTGGGGTTATAATAAATCAGGAGGGTGTGTGCCTCAGACCCTGGAAGTGTGGAAGTCTGCAAATGATGTTTGCCCTTCGTCTCTGCCAAGGGCCCAGAGGGGGATACTGGACACATGATCGGGAGCCAAGAAGGTGTCATTTTCTGCACTGGTCCTGACTCTGAGAACGACCCCCCCTTGACTGGGAGTCAGTGCTGCCATGGGACACCCAGGTGGAGGGAAGTGGGCAGTACAAATAAGCTTCTCTCCTTAACTCACAAGGAGTGTGCTGACCCCGAGAACCACAAAGTTCGCCAGAAGCTGAAGGCCAAGGAGTGGGACGAGTTTCTAGCCAAGGGGAAGCGGTTCCGGGTCCTCCAGCCAGTGAAGATCGGCTGCGTCTGGGCAGCTCAGAGGGATGGCTGTAGTGTTGCTGACTTCAAGGTGCTGCAGCAGTTCACGGTGTGCCTCCTGGACACAGTGCCCCCGGAGGAGGAGCAGACACCCAAGGCCTCCAAGAGGGAGAAGAGAGACCACCAGAGTGAGTGCACACACAGGTGGGGCGGGGAGGGGCTTCTCTTCAGCATGGCAGATGGGCTGCCAGAGCGCACCAGTCAGGGCAGGTGGCTTGCTAGCCAACAGAGTTGATAAGCCAACAGTCTTTCAAGAAATGACTGCTGAGCTGAGGTCTGGGGTTGCCAGCTAAAAGCACACTTTGTACGCACAGGCAGTGGATGATGCTTTTACACGCATGGGAAGTGGGTGACGCTTTACATGCACAGGCAGCGGGTAGCACTTTAGTCATGTAGATGAGACAGCAGAGTTATTTTCACTCGTGGTGTCACTCCCCACAGCTGATGGAGGGAAAGTTGAGGAAGGGGGGGCGGTGAACATAGAGTAGAGAGTTTTAGGAAACATTGCTATGCTCAGCGTGTGAGGGAAAGGATGAGCTGATAGGCTACCAGCTGCTCTGGGGTCTGTTTTGGATCAAGATGCCCAGACGGAGTCAGGCTACATGCTAACCCGTCCAAGAAGCCAGGCTGACATGTGGTCCTGAGCACTAGGCTCGTTTGTGGTCACAGGAAAGGGCAGCAGCTGTGGCCATACTGTCCCTCCCAAAGTCACACAGGCCAGCAGTGCTCACTGCCCAGTGTGCACCCCTGTGGCCCAAGGTGGGGGGTTGGATTGGCCTGTTTCCCCAGTGAGGACACAGTGCCAGCCACAGCAGGAGGTGGGGGGATGAGGGGATCATCTCCCAGGACAAACCAGAGGCAGAGGAGTGACTCGGTGTCATAGGGCTCTCTAGATAAACATTGCCAGTGGAGTACGTGTATATGTGGATAGATACTTACCTCAAGGATCTGCTCACAGAGCTGTGGCAAGTCCCGTATCCGTAGGTCAGGCAGCAGTAAGAGTACCTTTTCTCCAAAATATCTCCAGTTTCTCCAGACCACACCTGAGGGGAGTCTGCTGTCAACTGGGGGCGGAGGTGGGCAGCATAGATTACACCATGGGGGGCCATTGCAGTGCATTGCATTGCAGAACAGAAAGTGGTCTAGTGTTTGGCCAAACCACCAGGAGCCATCACACCAGCCACAGTGACAGAACATTGACTATCACACTCAGAATGAGCTCACTGAGGGAAACACATCCGTGCATGCCTGAACCAGACTCGCCTCATAAGGCTCACACGTCCACAATTCCTTCGTGAACAGGGTGGTGTGCGCTGCTCAGTCACACATCTGCCCTTCCATCTGCTTCTCAGGTGAATGAAGAACTGTGCTCACTCACTTTTGTTTTTGGTGAAAATATTGGAAACCGCTCCTGTCCCACTGTTTCTCGGCTACTGATCAGTGACGCTGCTTACATGCTTCACGTCGTGTCCTCGTGGCTCTGTTCTAGTTGTTCGACTGAATGATACACTCCCTTTCCTCCCACCTTCTCCTCTAGCTTTAGAATAACTTGTCCATCTGATCTGTAGATGATTTTTTAAAGACATTCAATACTCAGGGGTGACAGTCTTTAATGTTGGAGCTAAACTATTCCTTAGTTTAAAGGTGACTTCAGGGAATAGTTTTTATTTTATGTATTTATTTTTTAAATTGATTTGGGTGAAAGTTCACAGAGCGAATTCAGGGGACAGTTTTGATTCAAGGTTTGAAGAGTAACTTAGGGCCACAGTCTCGGGGACTCTGCTCACTCTTCATGCCTTGGTGCCATCGCTTGTTTCCAACCTACCATACTCCTTCCTTTCCCGCCAGTCCTGGCCCACCTGCTCCCCCTGCTGCATGGCAACGTGAATGGGAGCAAGGTGATCATCCGAGAGTTTCAGGAGTGCTGCCGCCAAGGCCTGCTCGGCAGGGACGCTAGCAGCCCCGAGCGCAGCTCCGCCAGCCCCCCGAGCCCCGGCTCCTCCCGCCCACAGACGCCCACCGCTGGTGAGGACACTGCGGTCCCCTCCAAGGCCAGGCTCAAGCGGATCATCTCCGAGAACTCAGTGTACGAGAAGCGGCCCGACTTCAGGATGTGCTGGTACGTCCATCCGCAGGTGCTCAAGAGCTTCGACCAGGAGCACCTGCCTGTGCCCTGCCAGTGGAGCTATGTGACCGCAGTGCCTTCAGCCGCCCGGGAGGACGGTGGCGGCTGCCCCACGGTGGTGCCCAGCCCAGCCACGCCGCTCTCCACGAAGAGGAAGTCGGCAGGCAGCATGTGCATCACGCAGTTCATGAAGAAGCGCAGGCACGACGGGCAGGTGTGTGTAGAGCTGCATGGGCCCTGCTCTGGTGCCCTGGCAGTGGGGGAGGATCCCCCACGGGGCTTTTGTTGGTGGTGTTTTTCTTTGTTTTTCCTTTGCACTCATTGGACCTAGTCATTGAGCATTTCCTGTTGTGTCAGATACTGCACTGGGTCCTGGAAACAAACACCTGTGTGATGAGAGAGGCCGATAGGGGTGTCCGTCTCCGTCGAGTGAATAGCTTACAGTCCGAGGAGTAAGTGCTCAGGAATGCATGTGGTCATGAGGGCACATTGCTGGGGGGCCTGCCAGGGTCACAGCTTCCTGAGGAAGTACCAATGTTCAGTGTTAGAACCCCTGAGGCTGTCACCACCACATTCAGAGTGTCACTTACGGAGTGGGACAAATGTTTGGATTTTTTATTACATCTGAGCACTAGTGGCGCAATAGTTAAGCACTCAGCTGCTAACCAAAGGATTGGAGAGTGGAGCCTACCAAGGAGAAAGCCCTAGTGATGGTCGGCTCTTGTAAAAATGACAGCCTAGGAGACCCTGTGGAGCAGTTCTCCTCTGTCATACGGGGTCAGAATCGCCTCGATGTCACCCAACAGCAGACCTGCAGTAGGGCCCTAAAATCAACATTTTTAAAGATCTTCTCTGGGATTCTGACAGGAAGAGTACTAGCACTATACTTTGGTGGGGACCATGCTGACCCTGGGAAGAGGGGGTCAGTACAAGAAGTGTGGCTGGGTGCTCTGAACCTCTGGCTCTTTGGAGTGTTGTGGGGCATCCCTGTCCCTTCTCCCAGCACTGTGAGGTGCCATGGCTGGACAGCACTCAGATCTGCTGGGATTGTGTTGGGCTGCAGGTAACAGAACACTTAGTGTCATGGTCTAAACTTCAGGGGTTTCTTCCCAGTAACAAGTCTGGGGGTTGGTGTGACAATTTAGCACTACTGTTGTTGGGGGCCACCTTACTTGTTATTGTTGTTATGTGCCCTCGAGTCGGACCCGACTCATAGTGACCCCTCCTTGGGTTTCTGAGGCAGTATCACTACGGAAGTAGATTGCCCAGCCTTCCTTCTGAGGAGTGGCTGGTGGGTTTGAACTGCCAGCCTTCCGGTTAGCAGTCAAGTGTTTTAGGCACTATGCTACCAGAGCTCCTACCTTACTTAGTGTGGGGCTTTCATCTGTATGCTGTGAAATGATGATGGTTGTGGGTCCAGGCAGCAGGACAGGGAGGCAGAGCCTCCCTGGGGGCGTTCCACTTTGTTGGCAGCATTAACTTCCACCTGTATCTTCCTTGGCCAGGTTCTTTGGCTAAGCCTAGATTTCTAGCTCACCTAGCTAGAGAAGGGTCGGGAAATGTGATCTCCATACCCCAAGCAGAGCTCCAGTTCTGGTTTGCAGGTGGGGCCTAGAGAATAGCTGTTGAGTGTGCACTGAACAGGGCCCAGCTGTACCGCGCTGACACCCAGAGAAAAGGCAGAGCAAATGTGGAGGGTGGGATTGCAGGGCTGCTGCCTGATGCTTCTGCACCCCATGTTAAACTACGTCAGGTGCCGTCAAGTCCACTCTGCCTCCTAGCGACCCTTGTAACAGAACTTCCCCCCAGACTTTTCCCAGGCTGTCGTCTTTACAGGAGCTGATGGCTGGGTCTTTCCTCCCATGGACCTGCTGGTGGGTTCAAAGCACCAACCTTTCAGTTCACAGCTGAGCACTTAACGATTTGCTAAACTGTAAACGTGTGTACATACTTTAGGTGGGGTTGAGCTTTGTTAATGTTTTGAAAATTTTTAGCCATATGTTCAAGGGGTCTGAACAGGGACTACATAAGGCTCTGGCCCTCCCACCACCATTTGGGTGCTTTTAGCTCTTTGGGCCTCAGTTTGCTTTTACAGTGAGGAGGACATTTCTGCCCTTTCCAACAAAAATGCTCTGATCAGAGTGGCACTGAAGGAGAGCAGGTGCTGCACAAGCCTCATTCTTTGTTTACTGAGCACCTGCCTAGCCACTGAGGGTTCTCTGTGTGTCCCGCCTCTTTTCTGTCTGTTACCATTTGCGGCAGTGACAGGTAAGGTTCTCCCACTTGTACCAGCTGCCGACAGCTCCTGGCATAGTGGCAGTCGTCCTGAATACTCTGAATAAGAGAATTAGAAGACCCAGTTTGTGCCTAGAGAGCTTGGATGGTCATTCCTCTGGGAAATTTTGGATCCCAAGAAAATCTGGATTTACCTACACTAGCCTCTTCTCTCTAAAGGGGTTGGTGGGGGCTTTTTGACTTCTGGACCAAGATCATGGGAACACAGCACATTGAGTTCCTTGTCAATGCAGGCAGGACATGGTGGTCACACATCCTTACTGAAACTTGCTCTGGAATCACGTGGTTGAAGCTTGCCCTTTTCCTCAGGGACAGCTCTCCCTCCAGGGTGGGGTGGGGGCTGGGATGGTTCTCTCTTTTGTATGTTCCTGATCACCCGAGCAGGTGGGTCTAGCAGAATCTCCATTTGGACGGGGGTCCGCAGGCAGAATCAAGGAACTTGGAACACATAACCAGTTGTCATCAAGTGGATTCTGACTCCTAGTGAGCCCATGTGTGTCAGTGTAGAACTGTGCTCTATCAGGTTTCTATAGCTGATCTTTTGGAAGTTAATCACCAGGACTTTCTTCCAAGGTGCCTCTAGATGACCTTGAACCTCCAACCTTTTGGTGAGCACCCAAGCATTGCACTGCTTATAGGCTCTCAGAACCCATCTATCTGATGAGCTCTTACAGGCCAAACCAGAAGAGCAACCACTACTTTGCATATCTGACTGTGGGGTCCCTCTGCTGTCCTTTGTGAGCCGAATGGAGACTTGGCGGAAGCAGGCTTCCAAATGTTCTGACAAATGGCCCTGGTGGAAAGAAGTGTCTCTCTTCCTCTCCACTGCTTTTCAGCTTGTATTACAGAACAGGCATGCCCACGGGGCAGGGCCTTTTCAAATCAATTCTGCTTTCCATGTCCATCTTGTCTGTCCAGTAGAGGCTACACACACATACACACGGCCCCCGACCTCCATCCATGGTGGCTGGAAGGGTGTTCTTGCTGGCAAAAGTGACCCAAGCATAAAGCAAGAGAGTCATCAAGTGCCATTGCAGAGCAATGTCAGGACACACACGGAGTACTGGCTTGCCAAAGCCCCAGGCAGGCCTGCACATCATGTGAGAACCCAGGCACTGTCTGCTCACTGCCCTTTCAAAGGACAGCTGGCACCAAGGCTCCTCAGTTGTGTCACATGATGGTGGCAGCTTGGACAGCTCTGCATCTTGTTCCTCTCAAGTCTCGATATCCTCTGCCAGAGAATCATCAGATTCACTTCTCTCAGAAGTGGAGAACGTGTTGCCAAAACGGACGGAGTGTGTAGGGAACCTCTCAGGGCGCGTGGTGATTCAGTGGGCTGGGGTCACACACCCAGGAGCCCCTGCCCCTGCTGATGGTCATGCACCCTTGTCTGCTTAGGTTGGAGCCGGGGACATGGATGGCTTCCAGGCGGACACAGAGGAGGAGGAGGAAGAGGATGGTGACTGTATCATGGTGGACATCCCAGATGTGGAGGGTGAGAAGAGGTCTTGAATCTAGGGGCATGTTCAGAAAGGGAAGAGCCAGCAAGTTCGCTCTCCCTCAGTCAGCAGATGAGGGGCTGGGCAGCAGGAGTGGGCCAGGCCAAAGGAGGGAGTGGGGATTGGCCTTTCCTCTGAACCAAGGAGGGAGCTGGCTTGGAGGGGCTGGGGTTGGACTGAAGCTGTGCCCCACCCTCTGCCCTACTGTTGTATCTTCCCTGCCCCAAAGGCTTGAGTTGCTTTAGGAGCATGGTGTTCCCCCGTATTATGGGGTATAAAGGGTACCACAAGGTAAGATGCTCTCTCTTGTCTTCCAGAGCCCCAGGCCCGGTGTGGCACCCCGTCGGGAGCTGTGGGGTCAGTGGGTGTGGACACCTGTGAGGGCCCCCTGCCTGTGAGCAGGCTCCTCCTGTCATGAGCACCCATGGCCTACTGAGTCTGGTGAATGGTGAGGGAGTCCTCAGATGTGCATCGGATACTTGAAAGTACCGCCAACCCCATGGAAAGAGCACTTTGTCCGCTTGGCAGACCTCCCTGGAGGGCTGGAAAGTTTATATAGGATGCTTGACTAGTTCTTTTTGATATTTGTAAAAATTTCTCCAAAAGCTGCCTATTAACCTGCCCCCTTTAATAAAGCATTACTGCAGTGTGGCTCTGCTCCTGGGCACCTGCGGCCCCATGCCAGGGGCTGAGGTCAGATGCTTGTAAATGAATTAGAACCCACAGGTGGGCGCCTGGGCGTCACAAGGGGGGACGTGTATAAACTTATTTTCTAGCCCTGACCTGGTCTTTCTGTTCTTTAAAAAGTGTCGTGTCTGAGGGGTGTGCTGTCACCTCTGTCCCAGGCCTCTGGGATGGGATTACCTACCTCTTCAGAAGACTGAAGGAGAATTGATAAATTTGAGTTATGTTGGTGATACTGAACATACCATGCTCTGTTAGAAGAGAGAACAAATCTTACAAGTACAGCTTGAATGCTCCTGAAAAGTGAGGATGGTTGTTGTTTGTTGTTAAGTGCCGTCGAGTTGTTTCTGACTCATAGCGACCCCATGCACAGCAGAACGAAACACTGCCCGATCCCGCACCAGCCCCATAATCCCTGCTATACTTGAGCCCATCATCGCAGCCACTGTGTCAATCCATCTCGTTGAAAGCCTCCCCCTCTTTCATCGACCCTCCACCCTACC